GTTTATTGACGAATTTAAAACGCGTGTTAAAATAACAAACTGTCAAAACAAAACACGACGAAAACAAAGTCAAAAGCGCAGCGAAATACGGCAAGATCAGAAGCACAGCGGCTACACGGCCAAGAATAAAAGCACAGCAGTTTACGCTGCAAAACACAGCAGGTAAACGAACGGAAGAATTTAAAATACGCTAGACGAAAGCTCCGGCGTAGGAGTATTTAAGACAGCGAAATTATGAAGCAAATGCGAGTCTATGAACATTCGTCAAGGTGGTATTACGCCGAAAAATTATAATAAATTATATGTCTATGAAACATATATCAGAAATATATAAGTCCTACGTTGGTGTTACGACAACGGCTATAATTATATGTCTATGAAACATATAGCAGAAATATATAAGTCCTGCGTTGGTGTTACGACAACGGCCATAATTATATGTCTATGAAACATATAGCAGAAATATATAAGTCCTGCGTTGGTGTTACGACAACGGCCATAATTATGTGTCCATGAAACATATATCAGAAATATATAAGTCCTGCGTTGGTGTTACGACAACGGCCATAATTATATGTCTATGAAACATATATATATACCTTCTTTTAATAATACATATCGAGTTATACTATATCTTTCTTCTTCTAGGATAGTTTTGTAATCAGTTTCCTTTCCAATTTTAAATTGTAAAATTAAAGCAACTTACAGAGGTGTAAAAGGAGTCGGTCTTAGGCAACAGAGGAGGAAATTCGGGAAACCACTGCAAGTGAAGATCTCATCGACAAGTACGATAGGAAATACAACAGAAGCCTGAGCTAAAGAAGATGCACATTTCTTGTTCTTATTTTATTGAATTAAAATCACATTTTAATTGAAATAACTTTATCATACGTTGGAATAATTTTTGGTATATTGTCTTTCAAAGCAAAGAAACTATAAATTTATTTATAATCACATTGTAATTGAAATAACTTTATCATACGTTGGAATAACTTTTGGAATATTGTCTTTCAAAGTAAATAAACTATAAATTTATTTATAATCACATTGTAATGGAAATAACTTTATCATACGTTGGAAAAACTTTTGGAATATTGTCTCTCAAAGTAAATAAACTATAAATTTATTTATAATCACATTGTAATTGAAATAACTTTATCATACGTTGGAATAATTTCTTTTGGAATATTGTCTTTCAAAGTAAATAAACTATACAATTCAATCTAGTAAACGAACGTTTCCTTTTCTTTTTTTTTTTTTAAACCTACGTCCCCCGAAAAAAATAAATTCATTGTAATGACTCTGGACGACGGCTGAGGATACCCCAGCAAAAACTAAATATTTTTGAACGTCACCAAAAAAGTGTCGTTACAACTTATATATATTATGAATACATATCGATTAAAATTCCTTACATATATATGTAAAACCAAGGTTATGTATATAAAGTAATAATTTTCAATTCAAGTAAGTACAGTCGAATCCAGATGATTCGAATTCGTAAGGGAACAGCATTTTTTACGAATTAGAGGCGTTTTCAAATTATCGAGCTTTTGATTTAATGAGGTTAAAAAAGAAGAAATTACAAATTAAGGGGGGATTTTACATTTTAGTTGATTTTCACATATTTTATATACATATATCACTTTATAAAAACTAAATAATTCAATATACATCCTACGTACTATTAATTTAATAAGAAAATAAAAACATAAAAAATTATAAAGAGAAAGATCAAATTTTAAGTTTAAAAATGTTTGTAATTGTTGTGTCGCCTATCTCTTCAATTGATTTTTCCAAACTTAACTTCTATTAAAAATATTTTTTTGGACATCATAAATGGCCGATTTGGCTTTTTTATTCGTTATAAGTTATGCTCCAACGGCGCTGTCATCCTCATCGCTCTTTCATTAATAGCCACAACTTCTTCCAAAATTTTGTTAACAGACAGACGGCTAAGAATCTGATGTAATTCTTGACAACATAATCGTTCTTACAATATAATCTACAGAACTATATGGTTCCATAGATAATCTATGTTGAATTGTTCGACTTGACATAAATTTTCGTTTCAATCTTTATTAAAACCGCAAGCCCGGTAGCAGTTTCGAATGCAAGATCTACTGACAGTATTTCACGCTTTATAAGCAGTTTGAATTGTCGTAAATAGCGTACATTAAAATTTTTTTTTTATCAATGCTATTAGCCAGATTAATAACCATTTCCTTGCGGTAAAATAATTTAAAAATTTTTATAACACCCTGGTCAAGGGGCTGCAGCTTGGAAGTAGTGTTTACTGGTAAAAAATTTATTTTTACGTCTATAAATAACAGTATCTTTCGATGTTTATGTATTTTTCATGCTATCATTATGCATCTAAAGCTATTCGATAAATAGATCACTTATTATGCACACATTCTTATTGTATCGGTGAAGCATTGGAAAGTTTGAAATGTTCTTGAAGCACCTTGAATTTGCAGACAGATTTTTTATTCTGCATTACGAATTATAAGAGGTTTATTGAGGTTTATTTCAAATAAAACACGAATTAGTTTGTTACGAATTATTGAGGTTTTCGATTTGTCGGGGTATGAATTATCGCTATTCGACTATATACAGTAATACACTATAGTATAGTAATATACTTTAGTATAGTAATATACTATATACTTAAGTTAACTTATCGACATAAATTTAAAAATAAAATTTATGTATATAAATTATTTTGCTTATACCGTGTGCGAGTTCGAGTAAATTGATGGTAAATTGAGGGAAATAGTAAATAATGTCGGTATGGTAGCGAATGTTAGTATTTACCAGAATTTCGAGTATGGTAAATTAAATAAATATTAGGTAAATTTGGTGTACCGATTTTTAAAATTTTATAAGATGTTTAATATATACATAAATAAATTTGGAAAGTTTTCACCAAAAATAATTAATAAGTGCAATAATTAAATATATAAATATTTATATAAGTGCAGTGCAAAAAATCCCCAGAAAATGTCAATTTACTTTACCTCAATTTACTCGAATTCGCACACGGCCTTAATTGAAAATAAACAGTTATTATTATTGTGAATATTATTATTGTGAATATTATTATGATTTAAAAAATTTCCTAGTGGTTATGTGCATATCTGTGTTTGTGTCTCTTCTTTCTACTAACTTATTTGGTTTAACATACATATGTCTAGAAGTTTCTGTAGTACGTCGTCAACTGCAATAGAAGGTAGATCGAGGTCAGTCTGAGCACTTGGGAATTTATTTAAAATTTTAAATCATATAAATATTGTTTTTAATAACAAATATGGATCATGTTATAAATGGAAAAAAAAATACAATTATAATTAACATTGACGGAGGTGGATATGTAAGCAATTGAAAATAGATTTCTGACAAATATCAATAACGGATATAAATTTTAGTTACTATACGGTATAGTAGCAGTATTAGGTGCTTTCTTATTCTTTAAAAATGATTTTCAAGAACGAAATGAAGAACAAACCTACAGAAGACGGAGGATGTAATGATAGAAACTAGTAGAAATTGTATTGAATCCTGGTGCCACACGACAAATTATGAAGTCCCAGTTATGGACGCGGATAAACATATGTACATTGACCAAGAATTCCAATTATGGACTTGCAAAAGTACGATATTGATATTTATGTATTTAAATTAATGTATTATATGTACCAGAAGTTATATTTGTAAATTATTTTATTAAATATTTACTTACATCTGATTTTTGTATAATCTTTATTAAAAATATGAAAAATGTATAACATAAAATATATTCATATAAAATATATGAGTAAGTTTTAATTAATTTATTTTGAAACAATAGGATAAAAATAAATATAAATTATTTATATTGAAGATTTGAAATAAATGTGCACTGTATATATTTTAAAAAATAAAATAAAATATTTTAAAAAATAAAATAAAATATTTTAAAAAATAAAATAAAATTAAAGGAGAGTTTCTCAATCCAAAATATTCTTTGGATTAAAAGAATATTCAATGGTTTTGTGCACGGACCATCACTAACATTCCTGAACAAATAATATAAAAAACAAAGAGAAAACATTTTAAGGATTTGTGGGTGTTAATACTACAAACAGACGGTTATGTGGTGCATGCGAATTCGAAGCTTGCTGCAAAATCTTAACCCGCTTATCTGCATGTGGTTGTTGTAACCCGCAGGGACCTGCTTGTGAAATCACTTTGGGAGGTGTTGAATGGTACTTGGTCGACGTGGTTCTAGTACGTAGACCCGAGCGTTTTTGAAACCCTTATCTGCATAGCTGACGACGCTTTTACACGGCCTTTCATATTTTTTACATAATTAAGAACATTTTGAATAGAATTGTATATTCATTTTCTGCTTCTTCTGATTTTTTTTTCATATTTCAGTCATAGAGGGGTCAGAATCAATGAAGCTTTTTATTTTGACCTATTCTTCCTTGTTTAATGCTTTATCACGACCCATTATTACTTTAAATCGTCACAATGTATTTAAAATTAACAAATAAATCAAAAAAAATTAATATTATGATGATCTGCTACTCATAAATGAAATTGAAATCCAAATGTGCGAATGAAGTGAAGCGGAGTGTAAAAGAGAATGCATTTTATAATGGATGAATTTTGTTAAATGATGTTGTTTTAATGATAACTATGTACCTAAATAAAAATTAAGACAACTTCTTACTGTTGACTGTTTCTAGAAGATTTTTAAAATAACTACTTTTTTCTATCCCTGATATAAACTAAAGGCAGGAAACTATTTAAGTGACATTACATTATAAGTAAACTATTAAACTTAATAATAATAGGTTATCTTTAGACTCAATTAATAAGTAAAAAGAAATTCAAAATAAGATTTTAAATTTATATATATATATATATATATCTGTCATTTACTAATGTAACTAATGTAAGAAAATTAAAGTTAATTTTGTTTTTATTTAATAAAAATAACTATTTTACTCATATATTTTCTTAAACTTTTTTTATTAAAAACAAAAGCCTCGATTAATAACAATTATCTTAAGCACTATGTTTTCGGACTAATTTTTCCTCGCCATCACATTCAAAAGTAACTTCGATTCCATTTTCCAACCAAGATTGACTCCAAATACCGATATTGCAGATTTTTGTAGCATCATTGGAATCAATTAGTTCAGCCTTTATTTTATAGGCAATACCAGAAACTACTTGAGATGTTGCTGATAAAATTTTAGAGAGCCTAAGAAACAAACACACAATCAATAATAATAATTATATCAACAATATTATATAATATATAAAACATTATATAATCTATAAAGAACTTACTTATAACTTGGACCTTCGCCTGCGGCCAATTTAGTTAAAGACAATTCCAAAGCTTCTTTTGCAGAATTTATGTCGTCGCCATTTAACGTTTGTACACTACCTGGAGCTGGCTGCGAAGTGCAAAATATATATATTCAAATTAAATATTTTATTATTATTTATATATATTTTTAATAATTTTAAGGTATGTTTAATTATTGAACCTTTTTGTTTTATTTTATTTTCTGCATTATTTTATTAAATAATAAAATGGCAAAACAATTTTTACTTACCACACTTGTCGCGGTAACCACAACTATGGCAAGACTCAACAAAAATATTGTTTTCATTTTGTTATTAGATTATTTAAGGTGTTTTTCCTCGGAGATGTAATTTCTGATTAGCAAAGATCTGCCAGTTCATCGTCTTTTATAGTCAGCAAAAAAATAGATAACCATAGAAATGCTTATACCTCAACCTGTTTTGGTAGAGAATTTATGCTAATTACTTATCATTATATATAAAAATATATATATTTGCTAACATTTATTTGTTTATATCAAAATAAACAAAACTATAAACTTAAAGAATACATAATACATAAGGAATACAAAAAGTTTTTAAATAAAATCAAACAAAATCGTTATATTACATCGATTTTAAATGAAATGAAATTTGACGTTGAAACCAAGAAGAAGAGCTCTGAAAACATTGGTCCGAATTATTCTTTACCGAATTAGTCAGCCTCTATTGAGTTCTATTGAGAATTGTAAGGATTTTAAGAAATAAGCAATTTGATAAACCTGCTGGCAAATCGATCACTACAACAATAACACTACTGTCTGAACCTCTTGTTGCGGTATATGCAAAGGATCCACACTTCCTTGCTATAGGATCACGAAAGACAAAAGAGGGGAAAATTGTAAGACTTACAATTTTGAAACAATCTAAAGAACTACTATAAAAGATCTAAAGATAAACTATTATTATAATGTGAACAGTTTACTTTTAATTTAATATATATATATAATCTAATAATAAAATGCAGTCTTACCACATCCATTTAAAACCAAATTAAATTATGAAATGAAATGTATAAAATTTTATTGGTTAATTTAATAATTTATCTAAATTTCTATACTATAATATATTATTTATCCAACACTTTATATGGTAGAAAAATATTTGATAAATTGATTTTATTGATTTTGATGTGTAAACTTCTAAGGATTATAAGTAGATGGCACTGTAGCAAATGGCGAAAAAACCTAAGTGTTTAGAGGAATCCAATCTTGTTACCGCTTTAATTTTTCATACTAATTTTAAAGAAAGTACGCATATATATAAAATTTTTTCATCTGTCTTCAATGCTACAGCTTAAATAATATTTTATATTTTTAAGAGAACGAAACCCTATTTGGCGTGAAGCTATGCAAATGATATGCTCTGATGAATATTCAAAATGATATTTATGTAAATCTTGATAAAGTAGTTGACAGATATATTTAAATAAAACCAGAGCTAATGTTGTCGAAAGATTAGTCAAAAAAAAAAGCAATTCGAAATACAAAAATTATATTACTTACTTAACAATTTAGTTGACCGTTACAAACGTGAGTCGTTTCCAGCAGCCTCCTCTTGATAGCTCAATCAGTAACTTGCTTGATCAGTAATATCGTTAGTTACATGGTCCTTCCACTGATGATGGGACAGGTTCTACCGCAGTTTCCTGCAACGGGTACCAAATTAAACACCTTTCTAGCTGGACCTCTTTCGGCCATTCGTAAGACATACACTTAACAATGTTGGTATTAATGGTATAGCTCATAGAGTTCCTTGAAAGTGTCAATAAATCTGCCGCATAATTTTTATTTGAATGTTTCTAATGTTTTTTTATCACTGTAGGTTATTGTCCATTCTTCTGTATCACACGAAAGAAAGCAAGAAAGGTATTATTATATAAGAGATTTGTAACGGTGGTTTTTTTTTTGTCGAGAGAAAACTTCATTTCTCAATTGCCAATTTAGCCTGAAGTCACATCTGTTAGACAAAAGAGATTCTTCGTTGAATTTCTACACTGACGAAATTATTCGTGTTAATGTGGGTTCTCAAATATACAAAGTCTCTTACATTCTCCAACTTATAGTAATAACAACGGTGACGTGGGTTTTACAAAATTCAGGAAATTACTACTCTACTCTAGGCTTTGACATAGTGTGAATATCTGGTCTATGGCAAATTTATCAGGTCTGAAGCCACACTGATAATGTCCAAACAGTTGCTTAACGATTAGCCTCAATCTTTCATAGGTATAGTACGTTTGACAGAACTTTATATGCAATATTTTAAAGACTAATCCTGCGATAATTGTTGAAGTTTGCGGGATCCTACTTTTACTGGATTGGGCACACCAGACTTAAATTTCAATCGTTGGACTGCAGGACATGCGTCTGATATTATGTGCGATAACTTTGTTGTTTTTCAACCGATTTGCTTGAAATTTGAAATCAAATTTGAAATAAAAATTAAATTGCTTTGAATCTGATGGACAATCTCGTAAATTATTTAAAAACTGATTTGCACATCACTAGCATTTTCTTTTAAGTTCTATTTTTATATATATAATGAATAAGTGTAGTCTCATAGAAGCAAAAATTTTATTTTTTAAATAAAAAATTTTTATAAAATAATTATATAGGGGGTGGGAATTCCAATGGGTGGAGTCTTACGAAACTTTTTGAACCTGAGTAATATAGTACAAGTTTTTTGAATCCTAAATTTCATTTATCTACTATTTATCTACTATCTATTATAGTTTTTAAGATATTTAAAAACCTTCTAATGAGCCACTGTTAGTAAAACCTTTTCCAGTAGTCTCAAGCAAACTACAACATTTACGTATATATAAATGTATCTATATTAATATCTATATTAAAGAATAGAAAATTCATTTTTTAAAGCAATACAAAAATTTAAGTGTCTGGGATTACTGAGATTAGTGTTAATAGACCCTTTCTCTTAACAATCAAATAATGTACACATTGTACTTGACCCAAGAACGACTAATGAAATCAAGTTTAATAAGCTACGGATAATTTAGAATGATTATACGATAAAAAGAAAATGGAAATAATATTTAAGAAGAATATATATCAGATATAACGGTGGTTTATATATGCTTTATGAAAATAGTTTTAAAAGATTTATGAAAATGCAATAGTTGCGATGGTACGGATTTCTATTGAGGATGTAAGGAAAAATGGAAGAATACTAAAAAATACAATGCGAGAATACAAGGATCCAGATTGCAGATTGCAAAAGGATGTTGAGACGAATAAAGGAATAATGATATGTAAATTATAAAATAAAAAATGTAAAAAATAGATAAGAGTAAAGGAAATTGTAAGGAAGGAAATGGTTTACCACAAACTTCAAGGTTATAGTGATAACGATTTTCTATAATATCACTAATAAGAGTAAAAGTTTTACATTAATATAAATATTATTTTAAAACTCTGTTCTTATGAAAAGCAATGTAAATATCGAACAACATGTAGAATCATTAAAAATTTAAATATTTATTTAATATAATTAAAAAGTTCCATTAAAGTAAGTTTAACGGGTTTTTTTTGAACTAATTTGTCGCTTTTTTCGTGAATACTGAATTAATTTGATGTTATAAAAATTGGAGAATAATCCGGGCCAATCTGTTTAGAGCCATAAAACTTGGTTTCAATGTGAAATGGTATATTACGTCAAAGTGATGTAAATCAATTTATTTTTGTTTTATTTATAACACAACCTATTTTTTTATTTTTATTTATAGTTTTTATTAAATTTTTTTTTTGAATAATAATCAAATAAATATTGGCAAATAAAGAGTTAATAAGTAATTAACATAAATTCTCTGCCAAAACTGGTTGAGATATAAGCGCCTCTATGCCGTTTTTATTTTTTTCCTGAACTATAAAAGACGCAGATCTGACAGGCCTTTAGCAATCAGAAATCACATTTCCGAGGAAAAACACCTTGAACAATCCTAAGAAAATGAAAACCATATTTTTGTTGAGTCTTGCCATTATTGTGGTTGCCGCAAATGACGTAGTGAGTAAAAGTTAATTTCTTATTATATTTTTACCATATAAGAAATATACATAAATATATGCATTTGTATATATATAAATAATTTATATGAAATTTTCAGTAAAGTATTTAAATTAAAATATTTTGCATATTTTACAGCCTGTTTTAGGTGGCGTACAAAACTTAAGTGGCGACGACATAAATTCTGCAAAAGAAGCTTTGGAATTGTCTTTAACTAAATTGGCCGCAGGCGAGGGTCCAAGTTATAAGTAAGTTCTTTATAGATTATATAATGTTTTATATATTATATAATATTGTTGATATAATTATTATTATTGATTGTGTATTTGTTTCTTAGGCTCTCTAAAATTTTATCAGCAACATCTCAAGTAGTTTCTGGTATTGCCTATAAAATAAAGGCTGAACTAATTGATTCCAATGATGCTACAAAAATCTGCAATATCGGTATTTGGAGTCAATCTTGGTTGGAAAATGGAATCGAAGTTACTTTTGAATGTGATGGCGAGGAAAAATTAGTGCGAAAACATAGTGCTTAAGAAAATTGTTGTTAATAGAGACTATTTAGATGTAAAATATTAAATAAAATATGAAGTGAGGTAAATTATTTTTACTTAACAAAGAATAATTATTGTAATTTTTTATTATTTTAGATTTCTTATTTAGTGATTGTTTAAATTCTTGAAAACTTTTTCTATTATTCTACATACATATGTGTTTTTATTCAATAATATATGATATATAAACAACTAGTAAGAATACAATATTAACAAAAGCGTTATCGTCGCTCGGTGTAGAGATATACAAAATTTTTATAAATTTTTATTGTATATTTATTTTATACAATAAATATTTAATAATCAACAAATATTCAATACAATAAACCCTTGGACCACCTCCAAAACCTTCTATTAAGGACGTGTGCGAGTTAGGCTAAGTTGATGCTAAACCAAATGGGATATTTTTTGGGATTTTTTGCACTACACACATTTAGCCATTTATTAACACGTATCGACACATCACTACATTATCGGCACAACTTAGAATTTCCTTCGTTTAGAACGCAACTTAGCCTAACTCGCACATGTACTAAAAGCTTTGCAAAAGGTACAAGGTAGTTTTTAAACTTCTAAGTTTTCTTTTATATGGTAACATAACATAACCTAACATTATTGCATATGTTTTTTTTATATTATTTAACAATATGTCTTCATTAAAACGCTTTTATTTAAAGCTTAACAAGAAGTTTAAGAATCTTAAAAACTAATAACATTACATAACAAATTATTTTATATTGCATATTTGATTGAAGTATTTTACATTTGGACCCACATGAGTAGTAAGGACGTGTGCGAGTTAGGCTAAGTTGATGCTAAACCAAATAGAAGATTTTTTGGGATTTTTTGCACTGCACACATTTAGCCATTTATCATTTTTCAATACGTATCGACACATCACTACATTATCGGCACAACTTAGAATTTCCCTCATTTAGAACGGAACTTAGCCTAACTCGCACACCATCTAAGTAATTTTTTTATAATTTAATATTATTAGGGGGTTATTAGGAGAGTTCACATTCATCTCATTTAAAATACTATTAAGGAATTGTTTGCCAAAATAAGTTATTAAGATTTCTAAATATCACTCATATGACATTTATTGTGGATATGAAGTAAACTTCACGAAGTTTTGTATTTACTTTCAGTACTGTACGTACACTTGTTTTTTAAACCGCTAAGAAATAGGATATTTCATACTGTACTCTTTCTATGTTCGAAATTCGTTGATTCCGTGTAAGGTAGAAACTTAACTAGATATTAATTTTGTCATAAACTACTAATATAATAGAAATAAAATTTTTCTTTATTGTGTTTAAAAACATATATAACATATAATGGCAGGATAATTATTTTCTTCTTAAATTATTAATTTAATAATATAAAATTATTATCATTTGTGTTAACTTTGACAGAACGAAAATAAACGTACAAATATTATTTCATAATTATTAATTTTTTTTATAAATTTTGAATGAAAATATGTAGATTTTTTAACACATTTTTGAGAAAAATATGTAAAATTGTAGGTCATATGAAAATATGACATAAGGAAATAAAAAACAAAATTTATTTAAATTAACTAGTAATGAAGAAGAAAACAATTTCCTAACATAAGCTTAACAGGTTAAAGTCGCTTCCCGCTGTTACTTACATTGTTCAATAAAATTTATCAACGAAGTCTTCAAATCTTTAAACATCTGATTTAGCAGTCATTAATAAATTAATTAGATCATTTAAAACCCAATAATGACGTAATAGAATTGATCTTATTTATTATAAATTTTATGTTATATTTATGTTTATGATTTTTATTTAAGAATAGAGAGACAAATTTTATCTAAAACCGTTAATTTTTAATTAACATAAAATTAATTCTAAAACCGGTAGACATGTAATTCGCTACGCTTTATTTCTCTTCTTTTCCTATAAAAGACGAAGAGTTAGCAAATCTTCTTCAATTATAAAGAATTTTTTTAAAGATAAACACATTGAAATATATTCATAAAATATGAAATTATTATTTTTACTGTGTTTAACTATTGTTTTAGTTGTTGCCGAAGATGAAGTGAGTCGATAATTGTTAATAATTGAATTAAATAAATATTAAATTAAATCAATGAATTTAATTTCTATCTAAATGAAAAAATAGATTTTAAAAGAGATAAGTACTAAGGCGAAAAAAATTAAGCACGTGTCAAGTACATCCGGTGTCTAATAATTGATAATAAACTTAAAAATTAAAGTTAAAAGTTTAATAATTTAATAAATTTAAACACAAATGGTTGAGAATTGTGAAAAATGAAATCAATTTAATAATTAAAAGAAAAAAATACAAAACCCACTTTGAAAAAGTTGAACATACTGGACACGTCAACTATTCACCGAACATTTGAATAAAAATTAAATATTGTAAAAAAAAATATTAATCTAGTTAAATAAACATGAACTTTTTCTTAATTAAGTTAATAATAATAATTAAACAAAAGATTAATTAATTGAGAAGTGGACAACTTCAAAGAATGAACAAAGTTTATATAAATCATAATTAAACTATTAGTTAATCACACTTTTGATAATTTTTAGCCCGCTGCCGATGAAATAGAAACCCTAACTGGTGACCAATTAACTTCAGCACAAGAGTATTTGGAAAAATCTTTAGCTAAAATAGCTGCAGGTGATGGGCCCAAATATAAGTAAGTTCCTCGCACAAAGA